TAATCCCGCGGCGGCTCAGTCTGGTGGGTCGGCACTGCACGGCCGCCGAAATTCCTGCCCATGCTCGTGGATCCACTTATTCGCCACTGGAAGGGACAAGGACAATCCCCGTCTGCCTCTGTCCGCCCCCACACCCCTCTCCGACCCCGCTCCGGTATCAGTGATGTATTTTTTTCCCTATTATCCAGGATTTTTCTGGCTTCCCAGCATTTCTCACCTCCCCGCCGGCAGAGCTGCCCCTCTAACCCCATGTCACCCCAGGGTGACACCGGGCACCCTCTCTCACCCCACTTGTCCCCAGCCAGGACGGGGCAGCCGGCGTGCAGCGTGTCCCCGTCACCGTCCCCGTTCCTCCGCAGGTTCCACCAGAAGAGAGCTGCGTTCTGCGGAGCAGAGAGGGAGTGGGAGCCCCGGGGGTTTGGCACCCCAAAACCAGAGCTGGGAGCCCCGGAGTTGGGGTTTCGAACCCCAAAATAGAGCTGAGAGCCCTGGGGTTGGGGTTTGGCACCCCAAAACAGAGCTGGGAGCCCAAGGGCTGGGGTGTGACATCCCTAAAACAGAGCTTGGAGCCCTGGAGTTGAGGTTTTGGCCCCCCAAAACAGAGCCGGGAGCTCCAGAATTGGGATTGGCACCCCAAAACAGAGCCAGGAGCCCAAGGGCTGGGGTGTGACACCCTGAAAACAGAACTGGGAGCCCTGGGGTTGAGGTTTTGGCCCCCCAAAACAGAGCCGGGATCGCTGAGATTGGATTTTGGCATCCCAAAGCACAGATGGGAGCCCCAGGCTTAGGGCTTGGCACCCCAAAACAGAGCCGGGAGCTCCAGAATTGGGATTGGCACCCCAAAACAGAGCCAGGAGCCCAAGGGCTGGGGATTTGGACCCTGAAAACAGAACTGGGAGCCCTGGGGTTGAGGTTTTGGCCCCCCAAAACAGAGCCGGGATCGCTGAGATTGGATTTTGGCATCCCAAAGCACAGATGGGAGCCCCAGGCTTAGGGCTTGGCACCCCAAAACAGAGTCTGCAGCTCTAGGGTTGGGGTTTGGCACCCCAAAACAGATCAGGGAGCCCCGGGGTTGGGATTTGGCATCGGGACAGGCTCGGCCACAACTCCCTGCGAGAGACGAGATGCAAGAGAGCAGCATCCCCCCCTTCCCCGCTCCTGGGAGGCTCGTGCGGGTCCCCCTCACCTTAACCACGGGCACGCTGAAGTTGGCATAGATGAAGGCAGTGGAGCCGCCGGCCTCCACCGCGCTCAGCTGGAAAAGGAGCAAAAATATGAGCCATGGCTGCCCCCCTCCCCCTGTGATACAGCTGCTTTGCCTGGGGAAACTGAGGCACGAAACCTCCCTTGGTCCCCCACCGCGTTTTCCCTCACTATGACATGGCACAAGCTCTTAAATACTCTGCAGACGTTATCATTTGACACCCACCGCAGTCTGATTTAGGGCTGCCCTCACCCATCTCAAACCCTGTTCACTCTGAACCCTACTGATGACCAAGCAAGTGCAGCTTCTCTAGGCCTGGAAATGAGGGAGGACTCACGTAGATCATGACCGTGGCGATCCTGTTGCCCGACTTCATTCTGTAAAGGGGGCTCTTCCTGGACTGCCCCAAGAGCGAGGCGGTGGGGACGGTCAGTCCCGCGCTGATGCGGCTCGGCCTGGAGGCACCTCACGCCCTAACAGCTCCAAGCTGCCCCCCATGGAAATCCCTCCCTCTCCCTTCTTTTCTCTCCCTCCCTCCTTCCCTCACCTCCTTCCTCCCTCCCTTCGCAGGAATAGCCCAGGCACCAACCCCGGGATCACCATCCCGGGACCGCCCCCACCCCCAGGACAATCCCAGGACCCACCTCCAGGAACATCTGAGGGCCCATCCCGGGGACTACCCCCAGGAACATCTCCAGGAACCTCCCAGGGATCACCATGGGGACACCCCCAGGGCCCATCCAGGGACCTCCCCTGGGCACCATCCCAGGAGCACACCATGGGGAGCACCCCAGGTGCCATCTCCAGGAACATCCCAGGGACCACACCATGGACCAACCCAGGGCCCACCTCCAGGAACATCCCAGGGACCACCCCATGGACCACCCTGTGGCCGACCTTCAGGAACATCCCAGGGACCACCCCATGGCCCACCCCAAAGACCACCCTGTGGCCCACCTCCAGGAACATCCCAGGGACCACCCCAGAAGCCATCCCAGGAGCACCCCAAGGACCATCCCAAGAGCACCACAGGAAACATTTTGGGCACCACCCCACCCATGACCACCCCACAGACCACCCAGGCAGCTCCCTGACCGTGGCATGGTCGAAGTGTGGCTCGTAGTGGCCTCCCAACCCATAGTTGACCACCTGCAGGTACTCGGCATAGGGTGGCCGCAGGTCCAGGCCGGTGACGGCAGCGATGCGCTGCTCCAACGCCCGCACCACGGGGTCAGCGGTGTCCTTCAGCCAGGCACTGCGGGAGCACCCCCACCCAAATTCACGCGTGGCTGGGCTTAACCCTCGTGGCACTGCTGGGTGTGGAGGTCCCAGGCCTCCCCAGCATGGCTTCACTGCCACCTTGGTGGTGGCAATGGGGCCATGGTGGTCCCGCTGGCTGGAGGACAAGGGATGGGGCGGGGGGGGGTGGCTTCTACCTCTTGCTTATCCGGTACTCGGCTTTCTGCTGCTTCTCCCCAGACGCGACCACGGACCTCTGCAGCTGGAGGACACATGGTGGGGGGGATGTTGCTGCAGATGGGGACCCCCACACCAAGCAGGGACCCCAGTTGGGGTCCAAACTGGGGGGTTTAGACCAGCTGGTTGCCAAACATCCCCACCCCAAGGTGTCCCACCGGGGTGATGGAAGCGGTGATAGCAGTTGGATCCAACGCAGCTGGGTGTCACCAAGTCAAGCGTGGCTGGGAAGGGGTTTAGGTGCATGCATGGACCTGGTTTCTCCCCAAAATCTTTTGGGGTGCTCAGATGGAGCTAAGCTGGGCTCATCCCCCACCCAGGGTCTCGCTGCAGAAGGTTTTGGCTAAGCCCTGGCTTAAAACCTCTCCTATCTCTGCATGCTCAGGGTGGGCCACCCTGGACCACCAGCTCTTGGGGCACCCTTCTTCAGGAGAGGGACATCCCTGGGGACGGGGACGGCTCACCCAGGGCCCTGCCAACCCCTTGATGGTCTCGGCCTCAGCGTCGCTGATGAAATCATGGTACAAAGCCACGTAGGGGCGGATCCAGACGATCTCCTTCTTGGCAGGCTGGAGAAGGAGGTAGGGGCTGCTGTTGGTCTCGTAGGAGCAGCTGAGGTGTGGGAGACGCTCTGGGGCTGGCTGGGGAGAGAAAGGACCAAGGAGGGCATGAGAGGCGGGAGAGCGGTGGGGTGGGAGACCATGGCACCCCCCCTGCCAGCCCCACCTGCCCCCATGGGCGCTGGCACAGCTCCTCGTAGGCGTCGCGGCTCTGCAGGTGGGTGCCGTTGGGGCGTCGCAGGGGTCCGGCACTCGCCATCGTCCCCATCTCCAGCAGCTTCTCGTACTTGGCCACGTTCTTCGTCACCCTTTGGTTACTGGGGTCTGCCGGAGAGGTGGTGTCACCCGAATCGCCATGTCCCCATCACCCCCCTTCCCTGGCATCGGTCCCTGGAGAATTACATCCATGTGGGGGCAGGAAATGGGGTGAAGGAGGCTGGTGCCATGCCGAGGTGATGGGGACACCCCAAAACCTCTCCCCTCTTCCTGCTGCATCCAATTCGTCACCCTTTGGTTACTGGGGTCTGCCGGAGAGGTGGTGTCACCCGAATCGCCATGTCCCCATCACCCCCCTTCCCTGGCATCGGTCCCTGGAGAATTACATCCATGTGGGGGCAGGAAATGGGGTGAAGGAGGCTGGTGCCATGCCGAGGTGATGGGGACACCCCAAAACCTCTCCCCTCTTCCTGCTGCATCCAAGGTTGCCCCACGTACCATAGTAGAGAAACTCCCTGGAGAGGCTCAAGGCATGGGAGATGTTTCCAGCCTGGATCGGGGGAGCAGAGAACCCGTGAGCGTCCTCCTGCCCATGTTTCGGCTCCACCAGGCACCAGGGTGATGGGGCTGGGACTCGCGGCCATACCATGAAGTAGGAGAAGGCAAGATGGTCCAGAGCATCCTCCAGACTGCTCCGGTCCTCGGGGTTCCAGCTGCCGTAGGAGAGGCGGAAGAGGCTGGCGGCCTCCCCCAGCCATGCGATGGAGGGGGAGGAGTCGCCCGCGGTCTAGGCCACCGCCCGGACCCGCCGGCTGGGCCAGCCTGGCCTGCACCCCGTCCCCACCCTGTCCCATGCCATGCCATGCCATGCCATGCCATGCCATGCCATCCCCTCCATACCTTACCATCCCATCCCATCCCATCCCACCACATCCTCAGCCCCATCCTCATCCCGTCCTGACCCATCCCATCCCCTTCTCATCCCATCCTATCCCCATGACCATCATCATCCCAATCCCACCCCTATCCCCTCCTACCCTCCTGTCCTGTCTCATCCCATCGCATCTCATTCTATGCCGTCCCCATCCCATCCGCACGCCATGTCATCCCATCCCATTGCAATTCCCATCCATCCTGTCCCACCACATCCTGTCGCTTTCCCATTCCCAGCCCCGTTCTCTCTGCCATCCCCATCCTGTCCCATCCCTTCCTTTCCTGTCCCAACCCCATCACCATCCCCATTTCCATCCCCATTTCCATCCCCATCTCTATCTCCATCATCTCCATCTCCATCATCTCCATCTCCATCCCCATCTCCACCTCCATCTCACCCCATGCCGTGCCATCCCATCCCATCCTGTCCCATCTCATCCCATCCTGTCCCATCCCACCCCACCCTGTCCCATCCCATCCCACGCTCTAACACTCCATCCCAGCTCTGCAGTGACACTCAGAGGACTCTGCCCTGAACAAAAACCTCTATCAAAACACCCAAATCCCCTCCCAGGGATTTACAGAACCGCTTTTACCCCTGGGCGGGGGCCAACCCCGTACCCACCCGGGGTGCGGGGGCTCCCCCAGGCCACCGGCTTGGCTCTTCCCTTCCCCAAGCCACGAAGCAGCAAGAAGCCCCATTATTTGGGCAAGAGCCGAGAGGCAACGGCAGGAGGGCGGATGCCTGTGGGCTGAGTCAGAGGGGCCCCTCCGCATCCATGTGGGAAGAAAACCCAACGTCTATCCTACGGAAGCAACATCCTGGGCTGGAAAAGCTTTTGGTGGGGGGGCTGACGGGGTTCGCCCTCACCTTGCCCACGTGGAAGCAGTCATCGGCAGAGAGGGAGATGCGCCTGCCGGGTCTGTAGAGGGGCGGGCGGCCGGCGCCGTCTTGCTCGAAGACGCCTTTGGCCATGCCCTTTACGCTGAGCGCGTAGACGTCCTGCAGCCGCATCAGTGCCCGGGCAGCCCCGTCCAGGTCCTCAGCTCCAGGCAGCTCCTGTTCCACCTCCTTGAAGCCGGCATGGAGTTCTGAGGGTGGGTAATGGGGTGCACAGAGGGGCATTAATGAGCTTTTGGGGTGCAATCGCCCTTCTCTGCCCTTCTCCATCCCTGGGGACCCCACATGTTGCTCCTCCACCCATTCTCCTGCTCCTCCACCCATTCTCCTGCTCCTTCACCCATTCTCCTGCTCCTCCATCCGTTTCCCTGCTCCTCCACCCATCCTCCTGCTCCTCCATTCATTTCCCTGCTCCTCCACCCGTTCTCCTGCTCCTTCATCCGTTTCCCTGCTCCTCCACCCATTCTCCTGCTCCTCCATCCATTTCCCTGCTCCTCCACCCAGTCCGCGTCACCT